TTTTATTTAATTGAGCATAAGAATCATACCATGAATGAAATAGTCTTTGGTTAAATAGACATGACTAGTGTTGAAAATAGATTTCACACTCCACATGCATTACATAGCATAGACAAACCATAGCTTCACTATAATTCAAATTTTCTAATAACTGACTTGCTGTTATAGCAATCAAATGTGCATCCATAAATTATTCTAGAGATGTTTTATTTTCAGAACAGCATTTGATGGTTCAATCATTAAAAGTGAAATACTGACTTTCTGGAAAAATTGCAGAAATACATCCCAACCAAAAAATAACTCATAATGCATCAATACCTACAATGTATATTGAAATAACATCAGAATTGTATTCTCTATGTCAACATCATGGACATGTACAATCACTGTAAATAAAAACATGGGGGTCAGAATATAGTTATTCACAGAAACAAAAGAATTATTTCCCAGAATATTTAGGAATATTCCAGGAAGATTACCGGGAATACAGTTCTTTGCTATAAACATCAGGGGAGAATCACTATGTACAGACTCGGATTCCTATACGTACCTATAGCTCACTCAACACGCTTATGTCAGAAACTTGAAGATATCCTCCCTTTCTAAGTGTCCCACATAAAATCTATATAGAGATTTGTTGAATTCTTATTAATTTGTATTCAGTATTAAATTGAATACATTTCAGGAAACTTAAATCTTCTCCCTCTTTCACAAATGCATATATTAATGGTTAACCAAAGACAACTAATGTCTGTTCTGCTAGATTTTGGCATAGTTCAGTTCTTTGTTTTCATTAGGGACTAACAAGATATAGCATAAATGCCTTAGCACATAAGCTAAACCTTATATTTTGTTTCTATTAAACTTTTTACTCTAAGATAATTGTAGATTCTCAGATAATTGCAGAAATTGTAGCTTCACATGCAGTTGTAAGAAATAATACAAAGAGATCCTGTCTGCCTTTTACCCAGTTTTCCCCAAGGGTAATATCTTGTAAAACTATACCATATCCCAACCAGATTTTGACATTGATACAGTCAAGACACAGAACGTTTCTGTCGTAAGGATCCCTCGTGTTACTCACTTCTCTCCCCCACCCTCCTCCCTAGCAACCTCTAATCTGTTCTCCATTTCTAGAATTTTGCATTTCAAAATGTTGTATAAGTGGAATTGTACAGCATGTAACCCTGTGGGATTGACTTTTCACTCAGCATAATTCTTTGGAGATTCATCCAAGTTGTTGCTCACGTGAGAAATTATTTTTATTGCTGAGTAGTATTCCATGGCATGGATGTTTCACATGTTTAACCAGCCACCCATTAAAGGACATCTGGTTGTTTACAGTTCTTGAATATTATGAATAAAGCTGCTATGAACATTCATGTACAAGTTTTTGTGCGAACATAAGTTTCCATTTCTCTGGGATAAATGCCCAACAGTGCAATTGCTGAGTGGTATGGCATCTGCATGTTTAGTTTTATAGGAAACTGCCAATGGTTTTGCAGAGTGACTGTTCCATTTTACATTCCCACCAGCTCTCTTCAACTGATCCAGTTTCTTTGCATCCTTGCTAATATTTGGTGTTGTTACTTTATCTTAGCAATTTTGTTAAGTGCACAGTGGTATCTCACTGTGGTTCTAATTTGTAGTTCCCTAATGATCAATGATGTTGAGTATCTTTTAATGGACTTATGTGCCATATGTGTATCTTCTTCAGTGAAATGTTTGTATATGTCCTCCAGTTTTGAAATGGAGTTTTTAGAAAAACAATTGTTGAGTTTTGTGAGTTCTCCATATATTCTAGATATTAGTCATTTGTCAGATATGTGCTTGCAAATATTTTCTCTCAGTCTGTAGCCTGTCTTTTCATTCTCTTAACATGGTCTTTTTCAGAGCCAAAGTTTTAAATTTTGATGAATTTATATCAAGCTTTCCTTTACAGATTGTGCTTTTTGGTGTCAAACTGAAGTACTCTTGAGGCTTAGCCCTAGGTCCCTATAATTTTCTATTTTTTAAAAAAAGTTTTATGGTTTTACATTTTATATTTAGGATTATGACCCATTTTGAGTTCATTTTCATATAAGGAATGAGGTTTAGGTTGAGGTTTTTATTTGCCTGTTGATATCCCATTCTCTAACACATTTATTGAAAAGACTATCCTCGCTTGATTGAATTACTTTTATACCTTTATACAAAACCCAATTGAGTATATTTGTGTGGTTCTATTTCTAGATTTTCTATTCTGTTCTGATCTCTGTGCCTTCACCAATAAAAACCATATTGTCTTGATTACTGTAGCTACATAATAAATTTTTATATTGAATAGAGTGATTTCTCCTACTGATTTTTCTTTTACAAGACTGTTTTTAGCTATTCCAAGGCCTGTGCCTTGGAATTTTTAGAAAAACTTGAATATGTCTACAAACTTTGCTGGGATTTTGACAGAAATTGCATTAAATCTATAGATAAATCTGGGGAGAACTGACATCCTTGCTACTTTGTGTCTTCCAATCCATGAACATGGTGTATCTCTTCATTTATTTAGGTCTTTGATTTCTTTCATTAGCATCTTTTAATTGTCAGCATATAGATCTCGTACATGTTTTGATAAATTATACCTAAATATTTATTTTCTTTGGAGTGACTGTAAATGGTATTGTGCTTTTAATTTTGGTTTCCACTTTGTTCATTGTTAATATTTAGAAATGTGATTACATTTTGTGTGCTGACCTTGTATCCTGATACCTTGCTGAACCCTCTAGTTCTTTGAGTTTTCTTTTTTTTTTTTTAAATAGATTCTTTGGAATTTGCTATGTAGACAACCATATCATCTGTAAACAAAGATACTTTTATTTCTTTCCAATCATATGCACTTAATTTCTTTTCTTGTTTATTGCCATGTGTAGAATTTCCAGTACACTCTTCAACATTTTCATCAATGTAAATTTTCAGAGATTTGCTGAAACGTACTGGCTTGAATGGGGCCAGATACACTTTCAACATTCTTATCATCCAACCTGTTTAGACCTCATTTCCTATCATTTGGATAAATAATTGATAACATTCATTAGTGGTTATAAATGGCACCCACCCTGCAAAGCCCCTTGAAGCAGCAGAGAAGGCTTTAATGAGCTGAGTGGAACCTGATTATAAAAGCAAACTTAGCATACGAACATTATTCTTAAGACAGAATCAAGAGGTAGTGATGCCCAAAGAATTAAGGTATGAGGTTGACTTATGGAGTATGTGGTTTATCCTTCTGGTTTTCCCCTCTTACCTCTAAACTGGGGGTAGCAATAATTTTTAACTCGGAAATACAAAGTACCATCAAAGTGACCTTATTCTTATGTATTAGAAATTGTTATTGTTAGAAACTCTTTTGAGAATTGGCTTTTGACAAAAAAGAATTCTGTGCATCTTACTATGCTTTTAGTAACAGGCACTTAAAAATATTTTGACACCTCAAACTCTGTTCATGTCTTAATTTTTTAAATAAAAGTATAATCGTTAATAACATTTTCCTTATTTTAAAAAATGTATATTTCCTATAGAAAGTGTATTTTTATGTTATACAACACACCTAACCCACCACAGAGGGTTCATAGCCGTTATAAAAAGACGGAAAACTGGGTACTGCTAGATCTTTACAGACTTCAATGTAAGAGGTCTTGGATGTATACACATAGGTCCTTTATAGGCCTTAGATGTGTACTCAGGTACAATGTCATTTCTTGCAAAACCAGGAGCTCTTGCATATAATTTTGTAGAAAATTTTAAATCTGTAGTAACAATCAAATTTCAAAGACTTTTTTTTTTTTTTTGATAGTTAACAGTGGCAAATCAGCCTCAGGCAGGTTAATCCTCACTTTACTATTTTGCTGATTCAGTGACCACCCATGCATTTCAGTGACTCTCTTGTCTTGTTCTCAAGATTGGAACTTGTCTAAGTACCACTCCATCCATTGTGTGTGGAGAGTCAGACCCTGGGACGCTGACCTAGCCTGTCTAAGCCCCAGTTTTCCTGTCTGTAAGTGGCAACAATGATGTGACTCTCATTGGTTGTCAGGCTGACACGAGATGATCCTGCCAAGGCCCTGGTCCAAGGGTGGGCAGGGAGTGTGCTTCCAATCACTGACTTCTTTGCTTCCTTGTACATTGTCCTTGCTTCCTTCCCCACTCCACTGTTCTCCCCTCTTCTCTCTACATGCCACAGAATGAGATGCTTTTTTTTTTTTTTTTTTGGATGCCACTCCTTGTGCCTAAGGGACGGGAACCCTCTGCCAGAAGCATTAGGCGTGGGGATCTGGGGAGCTTGGTGCTGAAGCTGTCCCACCCCATGAATGAGTCACCACGGCCTGCTCACACAGAACGGGGCTTCGCCCAGGACTCTGTGTTCTCAGGCGGTTTGTCAGGTTATAGTGGGACAAAGGCTTCCTAGGTGACCAGGACATTCTAGCAAATGTGACTTGATCATGCATCTGCAGTCCAGTAAGTAGCATGATGAGCACTCCACAGACAACCAGTCCTGCGTGCCCACCCCAAACACAAGACCGTGGCTGTGCGATGCACGTTCAGCTCCTTCCTGTGAGCTCCGAATCAAGACTGCTTTGGGCACAGCAAGCAACAAAAATACTCTCACAATACAATGCAGTCACATGGAACATACTTTTTTGTTTTTGTTCTAAGGAATGGAACGGCAACGGTCTCAGCATGTCGCTTTGAGAACCATGAGGATTCCCTAGTTGGCGAGACTGGGTGGAATACGATACAAACGGAGGCTATATATAAGTGAGTACCTGCATGAACTGGGGGCTTGCAAATGACCACTCTAATCTCCAGCCAGGCCCAGGGTTCCCCGGTCACCCTCCCTCGTTCTGCTGTGAGGGTGACAGGGCGGCCGTGAAGTTGGCGAGAGACAGACAGCCGTCAGGCACCGTGTGGCAGCGCGACGGAAAGGGGTCTCGTTTCCCGCAAACCCCGAGGACTTTCTTCTTACTGCATCAGGCCTTTCGTGGGACTGCTTTGAAGTAGTCCTCCTTTGAAATGTCGGATACGCCTCCATACCATTTCTGAAGCCAGATATGTTCTATCCTCATCTTCATAAAGAACCACTCATACTGACGAGGCCACTTCCTCATCACGGGGTGTCTGCAGAAATAAAGGAGAGGTCCCATCAGCGGGTGGGCTCCCGGGGCCCCGCGCCCGCCTCCGTGGCACCGGCCAGGTCATCAGGCCTCCAGAGCCCAGGCCTCGTCTGGGCTGAAGCCAGAGGCAGAAGCCAGGGAGCCAGGGCTGGGGTCCGGGACAGCCTCGGGAAGGCAGGGAACGGCCACCTCCACAGAGGGGCAAACCCGCCTTGTCCCAGGCGCCTTGGTTCGAGTCCCAGGGTGGCGGCGGATGAGCAAGAGGCTTCGTGGGCCGCCTGCCCTCTCAAACCCTGGCCTCCTTACCCGTCATGGGGGACAACGGTGGTGGTGCTCGGATCATGGGGCTGTGTGGGGAGCAAACAACTCTGTGTACAGGAAACACCCGCACAGAGCAAGTGCTCAGTGAACGCCGGTTGCTGACAGCGGGAAACATCAAGAAAGGCTTTCTGCATCTCCGGATGAAAATCCAAAAGAATTGTGAGCCCATGAAACAAATCTGCTGGTGGGAAGATTGGCACCGCTGCCGCAGGGTGAGAGACGCTGGACCAAGGGGAGAGTCAGCCAGAATGCACAGGGCACGGCACACTCCGCCTTCTACTTACCGACTTGCTTTCCCCCTCACGTGAAACCCTAGACCTATGCGTCTTCTTAAGGGCAGGTGCTTGGCTCACTTCTTGTAAAGTTCATAAAAATAAAAAACTAGATTCTTATCTAAACATGTCAAAAACAAAAGTCAAAGGCCAAGTGTGGACTGGGAAGGCTATTTGCAACAATGTAGATGCGATAATAGGCCAATGACCTTTTAAAAGAGACAATTTGTTTTGAAATAACCGTAAAAGCCCAGAGAAGTTGAAAGTACAGGGTTTTGTTTTGTTTTTTTTTGGGGGGGGGACACTATTTTTTTCCCTAAACGATTTGAAATGAAGTTGCTGATCTGATGCCCCAAAGCTCCAAATACTTGTAAAACCAAGATAATAAAAGGATTGTTGCTATTTTAAGCAAACACAGTTTGTACTTGGAACCAGAACACATTTTGGCATTTTGGCACCGCAGGTGTGGGGCAGATGTAACAAATCCTGATCCAGGCGGCACCGGCTTTGCATCCAGACAGTGAGGGGCAGGTGGAGGGAACTCCAGGAGACTCACAGTGGGGGGCTTAGAAGAAGGTAAAGATGAGCTTAGTGGAAGCGGGGGTGGGGGGGTGTGTAAAGGGGCCCATGAAACATAGTGGTGAAAAATTTGGCAACACAGCACCTGCCGTGTTTCCTGCCGAAAGACACAATGGTCTACCTAAGATTCTGGCCTCTTCTCAAGGCCTATTATAACACGAAAGAGGAGTGCTTAGAAGTAAAGAGGACAGCGGCGTTCAAAAATATATCGCCGGCACACACACACACACACACACACACACAACACCAATGTTCTTTTCTCAACCTATGTTCTGAAAACCCTGGATTCATGTTGATGTATCCAATTGCGATCCAATTCGAGTTCATTCCCATTTTCTCTGTGCATGTGAAACCCTTTTCCACGGCAGTGGGAAACCAGGCTTCCCCTCTCCTTTCTATGCTTACTTATTTGATGGTTCCCCTGTATGGAAAAATCGTCCCTTCTCCAAGGGGGTGTGGGTGGCGCTCCCAATTTACCACCTGCTGTCATGTTAGTCTTCCACGACAAAGCGTTTATCTGCCTGTTTTCATCACCTGCCACTCCGGGGAGGATACCTGCCACTCCTTGGCCCAGCTCTGACCTTGCACTCCAGGCGGCCCCCTGCACGGTCGCGTCCCTCACTCCAGCCCCCCTGGGAGACCACCCCTCCCTGCACACACCCTCCTCACACCTTTTGCAAGCTCTTGACCTCCCGCCGCCTCTCACAGGGCTGCCCTCTTGCTCACTTTGACCCCTACAGCCGTGATTCTTAAACTTCAGCATGCATGCTCATTTCCTGGGACATGCTTTTAAAATTTCGAGTGAGTCTTCTCTCCCGAGAATCTGATTCAGCAATCAGGCCGGGGCGGGAGGGTGGGGCCAGAAAGCCCGTGGCCGCCAGCATCCTCAGCGGGTCAGATGTAGGCAGCAGAGGACCACCCTGAGCAAGGCGCTCTTTCACTTCTGCACTGTGCTTTGCTTAGAGTGGACGTTTGAAAATGTTTGTTGTGCTGCCTTCTCTGCAAAGTCCAGTTATTTCCATTTCAAGGCAGGCTGTTGTGGAAGGTGGCAAGTGCGCAGGGAAGAGTGCCTGGATCCCTCAATGCAGGATGCTTTCCAAAGGCAGCGGGGGGGGGGGTTGGTGGTGGGGGACACCACAAGACCACCTGCAAGGCCTCTGCTGCCCCCTCCCCCGCGGAGCCACCACGACAGCCAGCGTGAGGTTGGCAGCCCTGCCCGCCCCGGCCCCCCCCCGCCCCCCCGCCCAGGGCAGCTCAGACCATTACTATCATTACTTCAGGGGCATCAAAGAGCACAGTCCTTTTTTTTACGGCGTATTTCTGGGCAAACCGACTTTAAAGCATATACAAACCTTGAAAACATGGCTTGCTTGGCAAATTCTACTTCTTCTGGAGACACCGCGATCATCTGGCCGGTGAGCGTCAGGCGGGCGCATCGGGGGTCTTCCGGGTCCACAATATTTTTTCTGCATACAAAGAACATTTTTCACATGTTAAAAGGATGATAGAACGTCGGCCTGGAATACCAAGGATTTTATTAAAAATGAAAAATAGGCACATGGCTGGTTATATCATTCAGGTTTTTACATTGTGTGTAATTCCTTTCACACACTTTGGCGTGGGCCGGGTGGGAAGTGTGCTTGGGGGAGTTACACACCGATCTCCACCCTCGGGGCAGCAAACACCCAGAGTTCCCTTGTCATCGGGGCCTGTGCTAGCCTGGCCTCTGCAAGACGGCGGCCGGGAGCCCCTGTCCAGAATCATGTTGCTGCTCTGCACAACTCTAGGGGGCGCCAGTCGCTTAAAGACAATATGAGCGGTGCTCCTGAGGTCATGCAGTGCATCTGCCTGGATCCAGCGGTGACCAAGGTGAAGGTTTTCAGACACCACTATCAGAAGGTGGAGGCTCCTCGCTCAACATAAGGGACGTTGGAAATAATGAGAACGTTAGTGTGACTACATGTGTGACTGCTTGCTGGAAGTGTTCCCGTGGTGGCAGAATGCTTCTAAGACTTGCTTTCATTGAAAGAGTCACCTGGCAGTGAGGGTGTATTTTGTATTCCGGATATCACTCTTTCTCTGGATAAATAGAATTCCATTTTTTTTTTTTTTTTTTTTTGGCTGGGTACAGTATACTTTATTGATGGTACATGACAAGGTAGGGCTCCTCTGGATAAAAAGAATTCTAATAGAATATATTATGATGTGATATGACATGATCTAATATAATTCTCTTAATTAAAAATTCTCATTAGGGTTGCCAGATAAAATATTGCATGACACATAGTTCTGTGGGAAAAATATTTGTTGTTTATCTGAAATTTAATTTTTTACAGCTTTACTGATATCTATTTATATATATATTTACTGTAATATATATATTTACATAAACTTCATCCTTTTAAAGTGCACCATTGAAGGTTGTTAGGATATTCAGAGTTGTGCGACCATCACCATAATCGAATTTTAGAACATTTTCATCACCCCCCAAAAAACCCCAGCGCCCATTAGCAGTTATTCCTCATTCCTGACCCCGCACCCCATCCCGAGCAACTGCTGGTCTTCTGCCACCTCTACAGCTGTGCCTGTTTTGCCGAGACAGATGGAATTGTGCCATATGTGGTCTCCTGTGACTTATCTTCTCTCACTTAGCATGGTGACTTCGAGGTTCATCCATGCTGGAGCCTGAATTAGTATTCATTTTTTCATGGCTGAATATTATTGCATTGTATGGGTAGACCACGTTGTTTACCCATTCATCAATCGATGGACATCTGGGTTGTTCCCGCTTTGGGGCCATTACCAATAATGCTGCCACGCACATGTGTGCACGTGTTTTTGTGTGGGCATGTTGTTCAGCGGGAGAACAGTGAGAAAGGGAATCCCCAGCTCCCGTGGCAATGCGACGTATAACTTTGTGAGGAACAGCCGAACTGTCTTCCAAAGCAGCCGCACTGTTTTACCTTCCCACCAGCAGTGTGGGAGGCCGGTTCCTCCGCATCCCCACCAACACTCAAAGGCTGTCCTTTTCATGCTAGCCAGCTGAGTGAATATGAAGTGGTATCTCGCTGTGGTTTTTATTTGCGTTTCCCTGATGGCTAATGATATTGGCCATCTTTTCATATGCTTGTTGGCCATGTGTATGTCTTTGGAGAAATGTCTGTTCAAATCCTATGCCTGTTTTAATTCGGACTTGATGCAAAATTTTTTTTTAAGTTTTCATCAAGTCCGAATTACCTATTTTGCTTTTGTTTCCATTTGTGATTTTTTTTTTTTAAAGCTCCCAGCAACCTAGGGCAAAGGATATTTATCAAAATCCTATACCTATATTATATCTCATGGAACAAGATGAGCATGTCCATATTACTGGATATTGTGGTTTTTGTGGTAAGACAAGAAATAGAAATATGTATAAAGATTGGGAAATAATAAATGAAGTTATAGTTATTTGCAAATGATATGACTGTATACAAAGGAAAATGCAAGAGAATCCACACTTGGAACATTAATATTGAGGAGAAAACTCAGCAAGATTGTTGAATTCAAGAACAATGATTATAAAACAATTGCATTGCTACTTATAAGCAAAAAACTATTTTCAAATATTAGAAAGTATGGAAGAAAGGGACACCTGGGTGGCTCAGTCGGTTAAGCATCTGCCCTTGGCTCAGGTCATGATCCCATGGCCCTGGGATAGAATCTGAGTCGGGCTCCTTGCTCAGCAGGGAGCTGCTTCTCCCTCTGCCCCTCTCCCTGCTTGTGCTCTCTTTCTCTCTCTGACAAATAAATAAAATCTTTAAAAAAAAAGTATATAAGATGGTAACAAAACCTATAAAATACCCAGAGATGAATTGAACAAAAATTGTGTAATATCTTGGTGGAAAAAATTACAGCTTTATTGAAATACATAAAAATGGCCTAAAGAGAGAGTTATCCCATATACATGAATGGGAAAACCCAATTTAATGGAGATGTCAATTCTCCCAGAATTAATCTTTATAGATGATGTAATTTCAATTCAAATTCTTTTTTTTAAAAGATTTTATTTATTTGTCAGAGAGAGAGAGAGCGGCAGGCAGAGGGAGAAGCAGGCTCCCCACTGAGCAGGGAGCCTGATGTGGGGCTCGATCCCAGGACCCTGGGATCATGACCTGAGCCGAAGGCAGACGCTTAACGACTGAGCCACCCAGGGGTCCCTACTCTCATTCTTTTTTTTTTCTTTAAGATTTTATTTATATATTTCAGACAGAGAGAAAAAGAAGTGGGGGTGGGGAGGGACAGAGAGAGAAGCAGGCTCCTGGCTGAGCAGGGCGCCTGACGCAGGGCCCGATCCCAGGACCCTGGGGTCACGATCTGAGCCGAAGGCAGTCGCTCAACCGAATGAGCCACCAGGCGCCCCCTACTCTCATTCTTGATTGATAGTTTGGCTGGGTAGTAAATGCTATGTTTGCAATAATTTCCACCAAAAAATGTTGAAGGCATTGCTCCATTCCAGTGTTGCTATTAAACAGCCCAATGCGATCCCCTTTCTTGCTCTTTTGTATGTGATCTTCCCCTTGCTCTTTTGAAAGTTTTCATAAACTAACCTTTACCTATGAGTTCCTGAAATATCATGATGATGTACCTCGATACAGGCTTTAAAAAAAAAAATCCACTGTTCTGGGTACTTGGTGGATAGTTTTAAATCTGGAGACGTAGGTCTTTTGGTTCTGTGGAATTTTTCTCCAATTATATCTGATAACTTTTTTCTCTTATTTTCTCAATTCACCTTTTCTGGAATTCTTTTATTTTGACTGGTGGACCTTTTGGATTAGTCCTTTAATTTTCTTATTGTTCAGCTCATATGTTTCATCTATTTCTTTTTATTCTACTTTTTGGGAGATTACCTCAAATCTACCTTCTAATGCTTCAGTTGAGTTTTTTATTTCTGCTATCATAGTTCATCTTTAAGAATTCTTTTTGTCCTCACTGAGTGTTTTTATTTTAAAGCCCATTCTTCTGCAATATATTGTCTTCTCTCCTGAAAAATTGCTTCCTTCTCTTTGTATTAATTTTTCCTAGTTCTTTTTATCTGTTCATTTTGCATGGTAGAGATTTTCCTCAAATGCTTTCCGTGGCTGTTTATCCATATTTAAAATGTGGCATCCCAGAGCCACTTAGAAATTCTGACGGCATAGCTATGGCTTTCTGACTAGTGGACTTTACTCTAAGGTGATCAGCTTTGATGGTTTTGTTGAGGGACCCTTAACTATTCAGTATCTGTATTTTGTTTTCTCTTGGACTGTTCAGTATCCCTGGGGAAATCCTGAAAGGATTCTTAGACAAAGCCTTGTTAAAGATGAGCTCAGTCCATAATTCACAGGAAGAAGCAAGAGCCAGGAGAAACAGAAATATTAGAAATAGATACCCAAGGTACACTTCATTGATTATAAGATAAGGATATCTAAAATGAATAAGATCTCCCAATCTTTAAGTGAAAGATTAAAGTGTAGCTCTTTGGAGGTCTGATTTTATATAGGGACTTTATTTCTAACTCTTCATCTGACCTAGCCCAAGCTATTGTTTCTTCTTTCTAGTTGTATTAAAACCTAAGCCTCTGGGCGCCTGGGTGACTCAGGCCGTTAAGTGTCTGCTTTTGGCTCAGGTCCTGCTCCCAGGGCCTAGGATCGATTCCCGCATCGGGTTTCCTCTCAGTGGGGAGTCTGCTTCTCCCTCTCTCTCCGCTCTCTCTCTAATAAATTAAAAAAAAAAAATCTTTAAAAAAAACCTAAGCCTCTATTTTTCTCAGACTGGTAAACCCCACTAGAGAAGTGCTGGTTCTGGTTTGTTTCATCTTAATTTTGACCTCTGGGGACTTCTTTTTGTTTCTTATGAGTGTGCATTTAAAAGAAGGTTTTTCTTCCTACTATTTTTTTTAGATTGATGAAGTCTGTAGTTGTAGTGTATTTCTTTTTTTAAGATAAAAACACAATCAGTTTCCATATAGAAGATTTGGAGACTATAAAAATATATGTTAGAAAATAAAAATAAGTGTGTTTTAAAATAAACTTGGGATTATATCATACACAGAGCTTTTATCTTATTTTTCCACCTAAAAATTAAATTGTGAACATTTTATTTGGAGAAGTACATGCTGTGAAGTCTATATACTCACAGAATTCTCAAACATTTTCCTACCATTTCTGTCCACTGAGCATAGAGAAGGGGCTGGAAAACTGCAGCTCTGATGCTGAGTGATGTCCCGCTGTATTGTGGGGCTGTGCGGAGTAGCTGAATCACAGGAAGTGCACGGTGTCCGCTCTCAGTGCCGCCACTGACCTTGTGAGCTGAAGCCCCATGGACGGAGCCTCAGTTTCCTCTTCTGTAAAGTGAGGACATTAATTTCTTGCCCACCTTCTTCACAGAGCTCAAAGGTGTGTAAAAGCACGAGGAGCATCATAAGGAAGTAATGAACGGTGTTCTCATA